CATTTTATTTATTTTTAATAAATTTAAAATGATTTTTTAATTTTTAAAATATAAATTTTAGATAAATAATAATTGAAAATTTTTTGACAAAAAATACTTAATAAGAATTATATATAGAGAAAAAATTTTAATTATTATTCATATAAATTATTAAAATTTTATTTAAAATTCATGTTTTAAAAGTCAAAAAGGTCAAATTAAATCTATTAAAAATAAATGAAGTATGTGTTAATAGTATTAAAATAAAAGTTAATTTTTATATTTTTGTAATATAAATTAATTATAAAATAGTGTGTTTATTGCACCCCTTAAGGTACAAGTTAGATAAACTTTTAAATAAAAAATTACAAGTCAACATTTATTTTAACACTAATGTCATATGGATAGTTCTAATTAAAGAAAATAATTAATATATACTTAGTTTAACACACTTTCTAATACTTGTCTAATTCTATTATTAAAATATAATATAAGGTTCTAACACACGTCAAATTTTTTTGTTAAAATATAATATAAGTACAACTCGATTCAATCAGTTTCTTCATCTTGCATGCATGATTGCATCTTTAACAGTGTTTGTTTTTACTTTCAAACCAGAAAACAATGATTTTCTAATGAGTATATTGTACAATATATTGAATTGAAGTATATATAAATCAATGTCCTTTAATTAGTTAATTGATTAAATTAAAATTAATATTTATAAGATTTTTTTAACCAATATCTTTACGATACAAGTTAAAGATGTAATTATTACACTCTTTTCATAGAACTTAATATTGGAAAATATAAAAACTATCATTAATTTCATCACCAATGCTACTAGATTATTTTAATTAGACATTTAGTTAAATAAAGGCTAACTTTTATTTTTTTAATACTAATTAATATAAAAATATACCATAATTATACCCTTAATTTGTGTCCTAGGAGCAAAGATGATAAGAATTCATATTTATATTTTTTTATGTAAATTAATTACAAAAAATACAATAAATGCAATATTAACTTGTGCCTTAAGGGTATAAAATAAAAAATTGTTTATAATTTAGTGCCATTTAAACTATAAAATAATATTTTTTTTCGTAAGAATAAGGATTACTGACACAAATATTATATGTCATGTTTACATAAATTAAATCTTGACTATTCATCTCTTTATTTTTAATAGTTCAGATTTATTATGATTTTTTAGATAAGAAAAATAATTATTTTTAATAAATATAATAATAAATGAATAATCTATGTCATTAACTGCATGTGTGAATTGAGGAGAATGAAAAGGTGGGAAGGGAGGGGAGGGGAATTTTAGCCCTTCATTCTCCTCTCTTCCCCTCTCTTACTTCCTCTTATTTGGATAAGTTAACAAATTAAGAAAAAAATAAAGTAAAAGAAAATTTTCTCCTCCCTTCCCTTCTAAATTTTTTATAACTAAATAGAAAAAAAAAATCTATCCTCCCTCTCTCTTCCTTTCATTTTTCTTAATTTAAATATTCATTAAAATAAAAATAAAAATAATTAAAATTTTATATAAATATGAATAAAATTTATATATAAATAAAAATTTTTAATGTATAATCTTTTAGGCTTGTAGATATATTATTATTATTATTATTATGCTCTTTATGCACATTTGTTTCGATCCTGGCGCTATGTTTTATTAGTAGTTTACGTAATTACTAGTCAGTTTAATTTTCTTACAATTAATTTCCCATAAGGGAAATGATATTTGCACCATTTTTTTATTTTATTTTTTTATATAATTTGATGTATTATTAAAATAATTAATTATTTTAATTTATTTAAAATTCATAATATTAAATATATCTATTTATCTAATAATATATAAAAATTATATTAAAAAATAAAATAAAAAAATTATTTCTAACATACTATTTTCTCCTAAGGTTAGGAGTTATTTTCTCCTAGAGTTGGGAGTCATTTTCAGATCTCATTGCTATGGCGGATCCGAGTGTCACTGATCTCACAACGGTGTTGGGTGAGCGGTTATCCTTGACTGCTGATAAGGAGGTAACGCTGAACCTTGATGATGGTAGTGGTGTGGATCCTACGGGGGGTGGCTGGAGGGGATGCCTTGTTGGTACCGTGTTGATAAAAAAAATGGTACAACATGGAAGCTATGGAGAATACACTTGCGGGTGCCTAGAGGCTAGTTAAAGGCATCCACATGTGAGTTTTAGGACAGAACCTCTTTGCGTTCTATTTCTTCCACTGGTTGATATGTAGAGGGTGCTGGCGGTAGGGCCATGGTGTTTTGCAAACCATGTCATGGTACTAAAGGAGGCAAAGGAAGGGCATCGAGTAGCTAGGGAGGAGTTGTATGAAGTTCCCTTTTGGATCCAGATACATGGGCTACCTCTAGATCGGATGATGGCAATAACCGGGAGGCGAGTAGGGGAGGCGTTGAGACGGCTTGTTGAGGTGGATGATGGAGGTGGCAATGCTTGGGGTGTGGAGTATATCCGAGTCAGAGTCTTTATTGACTCTAGGAAGCCGCTAAGGCGCGGCATGAAGCTCACATTGAGGGAAGGACCAATCTAGGTCGATTTTCAATATGAGCGATTGCCAAACTTTTGTTTTTGCTGCGGTTTGTTAGATCATATCAAGAGGGATTGTGAATTGGGTTTGGAGATGGAGAAGATGGGTATAGCAGAACGCCTTTACAACGAGAAATTACGGGCTATACCAAAGCACCTACAATAGATGAGTGAAGCAGGGGGTGCATGGTGGCTACGGGACTCCTCTGGAAACCGTGTCACGACGGAGGCAAGGTGGCGACGCCCGATTCCCCGATTAGGAAGTTCCTCGAATATGGAAACAGGTGGCCTTAAGGCAGATTCTAATCAACGTGATTGGGGGCGTAATGGTTTGGATTCATCGCAAAATCAAGATGAGATTGTTCCTTTTTGCGGAATAGAGCAACAGAAATTATCCGTTGCACAGCAGCCTATCTTACAAGTCCAAGATTCTAGGCGCGGGAAAGGCGGTGTGAAGGATTTTGTTTCCATAAGTGTGGGGGTTCCAGTGGAAGTCAGCCCCTTACAGGCCCAGTCCTCCAATATTTCAAACCCGGGTAGTAGCAATGTAGAGGGAGGCCCTGTTTTCTTCTTCCAATCTAGCCAATGTACTACAAGCCCAAAAACAAGAACCTGGAAAAAAGAGGCGCGCGAGTGCAAATCTGTTCCATCTCACTTTAAATCAGTTGTTCAAAGGATGAAGAGAAAAGATAATACAGTGCAGGAAGATGACCTTGAGTTGGGGTGCTATGAGAAGCGTAGCAAAGGCGAGGGTGGTGATGGTAATCCAATTATTTTATCGACGGGTACTGCTCCACAGGCCTGCCGCTCACCATGAGTATACTTTGTTGGAACTGCCGGGGGCTTGGGAACCCTCGAGCAGTTCGGAGCCTCATCGAACTAGTGGGGTTGAAGAAGCTTGCAGTAGTGTTCTTGTGTGAGACATTACTGGATAGAAGAGGTATGGATCGTATTCGTCAGAGGTTGAGGTTTCACAATTGTTTTACTGTAGACAAGATTGGACGCAGTGGAGGCTTGGCTATGCTGTGGACTTCTGAGGTGTCATTATCCTTGTTATCTTACTCTACCAACCATATTGATATAGAGGTTGAAGGTATGGGGGGGGTGCAAATGGCGGCTTACTGGTTATTATGGTTGTCCTGAACGACATCGTAGGAGAAGGTCATGGGTTTTACTACGTGAATTATTAGCTAATCGTTCTCTTTTGCCTTGGTTAATCTGTGGGGATTTTAATGATATCCTACGCCAAGATGAAAAAGTGGGGGGGATGCACAACCAGAATGGCTCCTTGCGGGGTTTAACAATGCCATTGAAGCTTGTAGTTTAACATAGTTACTGATGGTAAGAGGTTCCTTCACTTGGCAGCGATGAGAGATCCGTGAGAAGCTGGATAGGGGGTTGGCAACTGCTCGTTGGCATGATACTTTCCCTCATGCTATAGTCCGATTACTTACCCCTCTAGCCTTTGATCATAAGCCTTTGTGGATCCGAATTGATGGGCGACGGGACAGGAGAAACAGGCATCGCAAAAGGTTTAGGTTTGAAGAGATGTGGTTGCGTGATTATAGATGCCAAGAGGTGGTTCAGGCTAGTTGGAAATCCATTGAGGGGATAGGTGATTGGGGTTGTCTACTGCACAAAATGAAAGTATGCTCTAATGACTTGCTGTAGTGGAATTGTGTCCAGTTTGGGCACGTCCAAAAACATTTGAAGTAGTGCATGAAGGAGTTCGAGAGGCTCAGTCACCATCAGGATCTTGCTCTAGCCGCGAAAGAGGAACGTTGTGTGCTTAATGAACTTGAGGAATGGCTGGAAAGGGAAGAGATAATGTGGAGGCAACGCTCTCGTGATATCTGGATTCAGGAGGGGGATAGGAACACTTGTTTTTTCCACAGAAGAGCTACAAAGCGTAATGATCGTAATAGGGTGGAGAAGCTAATGAAGGATACGAGAGAGTGGACATCTAGTTTTGGCGAGGTTAAAGTAGTTGTCACAGAGTACTTCACCCACCTCTTCACATCAACAGATCCTACGAACCTAGCTCTAGTGACAGATTGCTTAAAACCTTGTGTGCAAGATGGGGACAATTCTTTCCTACTACATGAGTTGACTGAGGTGGAGGTTACGAAGGCTCTATTCCAAATGCACCCGTCTAAGTCGCCTGGTCCGGATAGTCTCTCCCCAATTTTCTTTCAACGCTTTTGGGTCCCAGTGAAGGATGACATCGTTCAGCCATGTTTGCAGTATCTGAACCAAGGAATTCCCTTTCTGGATGACCTAAATCTCACTAATATTGTGCTAATCCCAAAGTGTCCTGAGCCAAAAGCAATGGGGGATCTAAGACCTATAAGCCTGTGCAATGTTATCTATCGAGTTCTTGCAAAAGTGTTGGCAAACAGATTCAAGTAGGTGTTGCCAGGAGTTATCTCACAGGAGCAGAGTGCCTTTCTTCCAAATAGACTCATTACAGATAACTTTTTAATTGCTTATGAGGTTCATTTTATGCATTCCAGGAAGCGTAGGAAAAGGGGATGGCAGGCTATTAAACTGGCCATGAGCAAAGCCTTCGATAGAGTGGAATGGCCGTATCTTGTGGCAGTTATGAAGGCCCTAGGCTTTGCTGAGCGATGGATTAGCTTAATAATGGGTTGCGTGACCTCAGTCCAGTACAACATATTGCTCAATCGTGTGAATGTTGGGCGGATTACCCCTTCTTGAGGGCTGTGGCAGGGTGATCCCTTATCACCTTATCTGTTTCTCCTATGTGCTGAAGGCCTTACAACAATGATAAAGGATGCAGAGAGGAGAAAGATGTTGCATGGTATTAAGATATGTAGACATGCCTCGCAAATCTCTCACCTTTTTTGTTTGCTGATGATAGCTTTCTTTTCTTACGGGCTACTGAGTTTGAAGCTAAGCACTTGAGGGAATTCTTCATAAGTTTGAGGCTGCTTCAGGGCAAGTGGTGAATTTGCACAAATCCTCTGTTTCTTTTAGCAGTAATGTGCCGTCTATCGCACGAGATCGTGTTACGGGAATTCTTGGTATGAAGGAGTTGAGCTCCCCAGGTAGATATCTTGGTTTCCCAGCCCAAGTTAGTAAAGCAAAGGCAAGAGCATTTTCTGACTTGAAGAGTAAGTTTCGGGCCCGTATTTGTGATTGGCGAAAGCAACCCCTTTCAAAGGCTGGGAGAGAGGTTCTCATCAAGTCAATCTTACAAGCTCTCCCTATGTACCTCATGGGCATGTTTCTTCTTCCTCGGAGTCTTTGTACAGATCTGGAGAGGATTATGAATAGATACTGATGGGGTGGGGGTGACGGTCATTTTAAGATCCACTGGATCAAGTGGAGAAAGCTTGCAACTCCAAAGAAGATGGGAGGTTTGGGGTTCCGAGCTCTTCATGAATTCAATTTAGCTATGCTTGGTAAGCAAGGCTGGCGTTTACTCGTCAACCCGGACTCACTGGTTGCACAATTGTTGAAGGCTAAATATTATCCCCGGTCAGATCTCTTGCATGCGGGGTTGAAGCCCTCCTGTAGCTTTACATGGCGGAGTATCTGCTCTGCCACTACTCTTCTCAGACAAGGGTGCAGAAGGTTGATTGGTGATGGGCGCTCCATAGACATATGGAATGATCCCTAGCTTCCTGGTCACAGCCAGTTTTATGTTCAATCACCCCCTCCGGCCGATTACGAGCTTCGCTACGTATGTGATCTTATTGATGCTGATTCTCACTATTGGAAGCATTATTTAATTCGGGCAATTTCTAATCCTCATGAGGCCCAGCTTATCTTATCCATGCCCTTGAGTTGGCTGCATCGAGATGATGGCTGGACATGGCGGTTTACAAGACAAGGTTCTTATTCTGTCCGCTCTGTTTATCACCGTGCAATGGCCATGGGTGGGTCTCATGCAGGCCCCTCTCCGTCCTCGTCAAGCTTTAGGGGTGGTCCTTTTTGGAATCTTGATATCCCTGAGAAGGTTCGCTTGATGATTTGGCAAGCTTATAGGAATATTCTCCCCACAAAAGATAATCTAATGCGTCGCCGAGTTGAGGTCGATCTTGACTATCCTATGTGTGGCATGGAGCAGGAATCTGTGTTCCATTGTCTAGTGGCTTGTGCGGCTAGCCGTGCGGTTTGGATGGGTTGCCTGCTTAATCTCCGAATCTCAAACTTTATTGGGGATAATTTTGCTAGCTTCCTTGACTATATGTTGGACCTCTTGCAACAGGAATAGCTTGAACTCCTGTGTGTGCTCTGTTGGAAAATCTAGAGTTCCAGGAATGATGCTTTGTGGAATGATAGATCCCCCAACCCACAGCTTATTATCGAACAGAGCTTAGGATTTTTAGACGAGTATCGTAGAGTTATGGCTTTACAAGGTCGCGGACCCTCGGTGTCTCATCGGATGGAAACGAGATGGACCCCTCCAGTTGGAGATCATGTGAAGATAAATGTTGATGGGGCAGTTTTAGCTCACCAGCGCATTTATGGCATGGGCGCCATTGCATGGAACAGCTCGGGGGCAGTGGTGGCAGCCATGTCATGCAAAGGTCAGGGGATTGTGTGTGCCGAGATTGCTGAGGCATGTTGTTTGCGCAAAGCTTTGCAATGGGCTTGTGAGCTCTCCTTTGAGAAGGTGATTATGGAATCGGATTGTGCCAGCTTGGTGACAGCTATGAACTCTTTCCTTTCTGGTATAAACTCCAGCTTAGGAACTGTTCTATCAGATTGCAAATTGCTTATGGCCTCTATTAATAATTGTCATGTCAAATTCATCCGTCGCGTGGGTAATTCAATGGCTCATGAGCTAGCACGACGGGCTCTACATGCTAAGGATGATGAGTACTGGACATCAGAGGTGCCACCTTTTCTCGCGCATATTGTCTCAAAGGAAATGCCTTAATCTAGATGTTTTGTAAAGTTCCTTGATTTAAGTGAAATAAAATATGCGCCTATGAAATTTTCATCAAAAAAAAAAATTATTTCTATAACATCACACTTTCCCGTAATGTGAACGTGGGAGACATGCTTAAGAATTTCGAACTAGAATTAGTTCAAAATACGTAGACGTACAAAGTTACTTAGACAACAAATATATAAATTTAAAAAATTTGTTAGTAGTCAATTTTGCGAATCCCGCGTGAGATATGACCTTTAAAATTAAATACGCGTTTGCAACTCTGCATGAGTTGGATTCACGTCCTTGATTCACGGTTACTCTAACAGCTGTCATTGAACATTTCAAATATATATATATATATATATATTTGGGATTTTTAACATGTGTTTAATAGTATTTTTTTATTATAAATATTTATAAAAAATTTGTAAAAATTGATATTAATTTTAATATTAGTATTAAATGTGTAAATTTAATTAAATAATTGATAAATTAAATATTAATTTTTATTTTTTAATACAAATTTATAATAAAAAAATAAATTTTATACACTTTTAACTGATATTTTTTTATATAATTTAGATAAACCCTATATATTTTAAAAGAAATTTAGACTCTAGAGATAGCGTAGCTAGTGTTAAAGAATTTTTTTGTCTCTTTTAAGAGAATTTAAGACAGGAGAATAGTTTTTTCTTTTTAATCAATATATTTAAATCCAAAAAAATGAATGAAAGAGAAAATATTTTTATTTAGTTAAAAAAAATGAGAGAAAAGAGGAGGGAAAGGAAACCTTTACTTTAATTTTTTTGAAATTTATTTATTTATTCAAATGAGGAGAGGAGCAAACAATTAGAAGGATATAACAAATTAAGAAATTAAGGATGCAACAAATGAAAGGGTACGATATTTTTTTATTTTTCTCCCTCAATTTCCCTCAATCGAAACATATAGTAAGTGTAAGAGTTCAACTCCAAACTTTAAACCTAAAATTAAGGCTCATTTGCTTAAAAGTAGTGATTATTTTTTTAGTTAAATCATAACCAAATAAGAAATTTACTTAATAACTTTGGAATGAGTAATGCTTAAAATTGATTGATTTATTTATTTATTTTAAGTTGTATAATAAAAAATATTTTTTCATATCTCTTTACTCCTTTTTACTTGAATGAACTTAAAATATTTTATTCTATTTAAAAGAAAAACTATTATTAAATTATTTAAGTGGTTGATAGTAAAATTTTGTTTTTAGTAAGGGAAAAACAAAGAGTACTTGTTTTTTAAGGGAAGATGTATAGTATTTTTGCTTATTTCTTAACTATTCGCTAATTTAGTGGAAAAAGATTAATTTTGAGGAATATATTCTTAGTTTATTGAGAGTAAGATTCTCAATTTACTTTATTTTTATAATTTGAACCATAAATTGTTATTGGTTCCAATCAAACATAACTCAAGTTTGAGAGAAACAATATAAAAGGGAAGGAAGGGAAATCAAACCATAATATATTGACAAATATTATAATTTGATTAGTTAAAAAAAATATTCTCAAGTCTTTTTTTCTCAATTTTTCTTAAACCAAATATACTCTTGGTACAACAATGGCTTGAGTGAATGATAGTGGTAGCCTTCAAAATTGTGCAAAACCAATACAAATAAGATCCATTCTAAGTGACGTGAGATAAAGGAGGAGGACATGGAGGAGGATGTCAAATGATTAAATATGGGAGATTTTGTAAAACCCCAATCCCACACCAAAAAGAGTACAGTGGTATATGAATATGTAGGGACCAAACTAATCCAGAGAGACCCATAGTTATAGAATACTTCTTAAGTGATGTGAGATATGAAAGTTGAAACACAACCATGCCACTACCATCCATTCCAAACCCTTGTTGAGCTATAAAGGACTCTTTCAACAGCCCATATTAAGGTTTCCCAACATAGCCTCACACCTACGAGAAGAAAATGTTATTATTCCAATTGAAATGACTTGGATTAAACCCTATTATTGGACTAACAGTTCTTCAAACTAAGATTTATGAGTTTTTAAAAACTTAAATTCAAGTTGTTAGCAATGATTGGTCTCTACATGTATATACAACTTATAATCATATAATTGTATACTCTTCTTCTGTTATGCAATTAGGGCATTATATGAACTCTTATAGGTGATTTTTTTGGCGGTCACACATTTTTGGCAATGATTTTTATTACTATAACCATATATTTCTTTCTTTTTTCTTTCTTTTTTTTTGGTAATTGGTTGCTTGGCAAAAAAATCCTCTACCATTACCATGCCAATATCTACTAAATCCAATTGACACCATTTTTTCATTATAGATTATCAAATTTGAAGTATTGTGTAACTTCCAAAAAGGAAATTCAATGTATAGTAGAAACATTTTAAGTATAACTAATAGGTCATATTTTGAATGAAATAATTTTAGGTTTAGGGTTTTTAATCTAAAATATATATACTTAAATTTAATTAACTTTTTTTATGATGGAAAAATTATAATTGACTTCATAGAAAAATAAAAAGTATTTTGCATTTGGACTCCAAAACACTGAATTTAAAGAAAAATACAAAAAAAAAGGTGATATTTTTAATTTTTATTTTTATAATATATATTCTTAATTTGTAAATTTTTTTTCTCACTTCTTTTGAAGGAAAAATTTTTTTCATAACTTTCTTTATATAAGAACCATTTAACAATTTTTTTATATCAATTTTTTTACTAAATATAACAAATTTAATAACTTAATAAAATTTTATTATAAAATAATTTTTTATACAAATACTTTTTTAACTTTTTATATATATTTTAACTAATTATTTTTTTAAGAAAACTTTCTTAAGGGTGGCCTTTTAACGAAAACACACCATAAGAGGATTGCTTTTCCATGCCCAAACACTCTTCGGTCTTTTACATTACAAGATCCAAGTAGTATAATAACCGAGATTCTAACAAATCATGACAGGGTAATTAAAAGGCAGAAGGTGCAATTCAGCCCCTCTACGTCCATTGTTGTGGCACATCAGCCCCTCTGCCTAAAAGTAGAGCAAATCAGCCCCTCCATTTGACAAAACCCGCAAATCAGCCCTTCTGCTGACGATGACCTCATCAAATGTCATCTTTCCGTCCACATCCTTGTTACTCCGTTACCAAGAAGTGGCTTGGTGCTAATATGGCATTGGGTGAGTGATGTGGTCAATTTAAACTGCAAAATTACTAAAGAGTCCTCATCTACTTCCTTTTCTTCCATTCATCTTCTCTATCGTCCTTTATAGTCTCTCTCTTCATATTGCAAATTTACATTTTTTTTAATAGATTAAAATGAAATTTCCTTAAGATAAATCTAAACTTTAAAAAATATTAAAAAAAACCATCAAAATATGAAAATATAAAAGTTAAAAAAATTTTCAAAATTAAAATCAAAACTTGTGGTTTTACTAGTATTAAATGATTTATTTATTAAATCTCCATATCTAGTATCACAAAATCTACCTAACTTTATTTTATATAAAAACGTATGTAATATTTATTTTTATTAGAAAAATATCTCAAAAATAAATTCATATATTTTTTAATAAAGACACAAACTGACAAAAAGGAAAAAAATTAAAAATTATGAATTTATATATGCTTTTTTGTTGCAGAAGGTTTTTTATTTGTACTAAGATGAAGCAGAAGTAAAGGGATACATATGAATCCATCATTTTTTCTTTTTTATTTTTTTTTAAGTTTTTATTTTTATTAAAAATATATAAATCTATTTTTGAGATAGTTTTTAAAATAAATAAATATTACATGTATTTTTATTTAAAATAAAGTGAGGTATATTTTGGGTTATTGGAAATGAAAACTTAATGAGCAAATTACTTGATGTCAACAAAGCCACAAGTTTTAATTTTAATTTTGAAATTTTTTTTTTACTTTTATATTTTCATATTTTCATATTTTGAGGGTTTTTTTAATAATTTTTTGAAATTTAGATTTATTAAAGAAAATTTCAATTTAAACTATTGAAAAAAAAAAAGCAAATCTGCAATACGAAGAAAGAGACTGTGAAGGGGGAGAGAGAAAATGAATGGAAGAAAAGATACTAAATAAGGACTCTTTAATAATTTTACAATTTAAATTGATCACGTCACCCACCCAATGCGATATCAGCACCAAGCCATTCTTGGTTGCGGAGTAACAAGGATGTGGACGGAAAGATGACATTTGATGAGGTCATCGTCAGCAAAAGGGCTGATTTGCGGGTTTTGTCAAGTGGAGGGGCTGATTTGCTCTACTTTTAGGTAGAGGGGCTGATGTGCGACAACAATGGATGTAGAGGGGCTGAATTGCACCTTCTGCCTAATTAAAATGCTACTAATGTTAATGGAAAATTTTAAACATCTTTAATTAATAAATATAGAGAGGATTTGTTAATAATATTTGATTAATTTTTTAGTTAATTTTGATATTTAAAAAATTAAAGACATTTTAATTTTTATCTTTTATTTTTATAAAGATTAGAAATTTTTATTTTGTAATTAAGACTATTATGAGTTGAATGGGAGATGAAATCCCTAACATCCCAAACCCACTACCATTCAATAATTTAAGTTGGTTGCTATTGCACACCACTAATTTTTATAAACTAAAAAATGGAGTTTTATAAGTTAAACTATATTTTAAAAATACAATTTAATCTATAAATTATTAATAATATACTTAGATTAAAAAAATATAAAAGAAGGTAGGTGTAGATTTTTTGATCAATTAAATTATTACATTTTTTAAAAATCTTCTCATGTCATACTACGTTTTTTTTTAACAAAAAGATCTTCTCCCAATTGCAGTAGAGGTAAAATGACATTAGTCATTAAATATGTGTATTTTTTTTTTAAGTGGGTTTTGAACTCGTTTAATGTAAAAATGTTCAAAAAAAAAAAAAAGATTTTCCCCCAACTGATATTTATTAAGTTAAAAACTTTTATTTAAGATTAATTTTTTTTAATATTAACTTCTTTCTTATATTAACTCTTGATATTCAAAAATTATAAAAGATACTAATTATCTTATTTAAAGATAAATGAATTTATCCAAATCAACATATCACTAGTTGAGATTAAAATTATAAATTTAAATCTTTATAAGATAATTTTTAATTGACTATCCATATATAAAAGATAAATAATTAAATTTTTTATATTATCAAATAATCAATACTTTAATATACTAAAAAATATCAAATTGCATTTTTAATTTACAACCTAACTAAGACTTTAATATACTAAACAAAATATCAAATTATATTTTTAATTTACAATCTAGTACTAGATCATGAATCTCTTTTGTAAAAATTATACTTTCCCATTATAAAATCAAGAATCCGGCAGCAATTATTAAAAAAATAAATCCTTCACAGTCGGTGCTGTGTCCCATGTTTTTCTACACATCTTCCTCCCTTCTTCCTCCATCTCCGTCTAGGGTTCTACATTTTCACCCTCACAATACTCAGAATCAGATCTCCTCTTAATTATTTTCAATGGAAATCTAAAATCCTGATCTGGGTTTGTTAGAGAAGAAGAGGATTTGAGTTTCTTGGATCTCTCTATAACCGGAAAAGGAGGAGGGAAAGTCGAAGTTATATACGCATGGGGCAAGAGAGCTTTGCGCCCCAGAAGAGAGCATTGATAGGGGGACCCGGCGGTGGCCTACCCACCACCAACGCTGGTGCCGGGAGAGGCCGTGGGTTTGCCGGAATGCCACGGGGCAGGCAGATCCACAAGACCTTCAACAACATCAAAATCACGATTCTTTGTGGGTTTGTGACAATCCTGGTGCTCCGTGGTACCATCGGCGTGGGGAATCTCGGGAGCTCTGACGCTGACGCGGTCAATCAGAATCTCATCGAGGAGACCAACCGGATCCTTGCTGAAATCCGCTCCGATTCGGATCCTAACGATCCCGACGAGCCAGCGGAAACCGAGATCAATCCGAATGCCACCTACACTCTCGGCCCCAAAATCTCTGATTGGGATCAACAGCGTAAGGTATGGCTCTCACAGAACCCTGAATTCCCTAATTTGGTCCATGGAAAAGCTAGAATCTTGCTGGTTACTGGGTCACCTCCAAATCCTTGTGATAACCCTATAGGAGATCATTACTTGTTGAAATCGGTGAAAAACAAAATAGATTATTGTAGGATTCATGGTATTGAGATTGTGTATAATATGGCTCATTTGGACAAGGAGCTTGCTGGGTACTGGGCAAAATTGCCTTTGATTAGGAGGTTGATGCTGTCCCATCCAGAAGTAGAGTGGATTTGGTGGATGGATAGTGATGCATTTTTTACTGATATGGTTTTTGAGATTCCATTGGAGAAGTATGCTAAATATAATTTGGTGGTTCATGGGTATCCGGATTTGATGTTTGAGCAAAAGTCATGGATTGCGCTAAATACTGGAAGCTTTTTATTTAGGAATTGCCAGTGGTCGTTGGATTTGCTTGATGCCTGGGCTCCAATGGGGCCTAAGGGGCCGATTCGTGAGGAGGCAGGGAAGATTTTGACTGCTAACCTGAAAGGGAGGCCAGCTTTTGAGGCAGATGATCAATCTGCCCTGATTTACTTGCTGCTTTCACAGAAAGATAAGTGGATGGACAACGTGTTTCTTGAGAATCAGTACTATTTGCATGGTTATTGGGCAGGTTTAGTAGATAGGTATGAGGAGATGATGGAGAAGTATCATCCAGGATTGGGGGATGAGAGGTGGCCATTTGTGACTCATTTTGTTGGTTGCAAGCCTTGTGGTAGCTATGGAGATTACCCTGTCGAGAGGTGCTTGAGCAGCATGCAGAGGGCTTTCAATTTTGCTGATAACCAGGTGCTTAAGCTGTATGGGTTCAGGCACAGGGGATTGCTAGGCCCCAATATCAAGAGGATCAGGAATGAGACAGCCGCTCCCTTGGAGATTGTTGACAAGCTTGATATCCGTCGTTCAGTGCACGGGAAAAGTTGATCACAGAGCTAGTGATTGAAACACCTTCATTGTGTCATAATCTGTTGGGAATAATAGAAACCCTCAGATGAAAAGCAAATTTGAATTTGATAACAGTTACATTTTAGTTTTTTTATTTTTTCTTTGGTAAGACATTTGAGTAAGTTTTGATTGATCTGTCATCATGCCTGCTGTGGAGAACAAAGAAAGTAGAATTCTTTATGTACTTCAATTCATCTTCTCTCTGTTTAACTTATGAAGGAATTTTATAAGCAACCCATTGTTCATTGCAGTTTGCTTCTGCATTTTTGCTGTTCGCATTGATTTGGATTCTTAAAGTTATTTAGGTGATATGAATGTTGTTTCTGAATATCTAGTAGTTAAGCGGTAAAAGAAGCATGACACATATCTGCTACCTGGGGTGCATATTTCGAATCACTACTAAACTTTCGAATTGTCTTAAGGGTTGTATTTTCTATTCTTTTGAATCTGTATATGCTACCGAATTCAAGCTGTTAATAGGTTTTACAATCATATTCTTCAACCTCATTATACATTCCAGTGGCAGTGACCATTACATCATACGACCAGGCTGCGCCATTATTCAATACTCACCTTTCCCATTTTCTGGTTTCGAATTTACTGGCTTAGCTGATGTAGATTGAGGAAAGAACCCATGATGAGAAACTGTTGAGATTGCTTATTTAACAATACTTTGTTTAAGAATGGAAAAAAACAGAAGTTGGAATAAATTGATTTTATCTGCAGAATACATTCTACGAAGAAAGGAAAAAGGATAAAAAAAAAAAAAAAGAAAAAAAAATGCACAGTAAATTCTTCAACTGCCTTCTGTGGAACAGAAGGAAGAACTTGAAAAGGTGGCTGCCAAACTAATTGTGTTGCAGTTTCTTTGATCTTCTTCACCTACCTTGGAAATTCCCCATCTGATGGAACACTGGAGAACCTACCGTCACCTCAGAATCATCAGTAGCACCACTTACATGGCTGTCCTCGGAACGTTGTTCGCCAGGTTTTTTAAAGGCAATCAAATTTGCGCTCTTATCCTCCGGTAGATGAATCTGCGTCGCAGCCTCCTGAAGCTGCAATGCATACTCCAAGTTCCACAGCACATCTCCCATGCCAGGCCTATCAACTCCATGTTCCGCCAAACACTTCTCAGCTGCCTCCACATACTTCCTCAAGGATTCAGAACTAACAGCTCGGGCTATCGCAGGATCAATTATCTTTTCGATCATGCCCTTCCGTTGCCAATGCATTGCCCAATCTGCCAAACTCACCTGCTCCTTCGGCAGCTTCGGGCATATAACAGGCCTCGCGCATAAAACCTCAAAAAGTACCACTCCGAAAGAGTATACATCTGATTTCTCAGTAAGTTGTTGCCGCCGGAAGTACTCAGGGTCCAAGTATCCGAAGCTCCCTTTTACGGCAGTGCTTACATAACCTTGATCCATCGGTGCATCCTTGGACAGGCCGAAGTCAGAGACTTTTGCCACGAAATTTTCATCAAGAAGAATGTTTGTAGTCTTCACATCCCTGTGTATGATTCCCTGTGATGTTCCGGTGTGCAGGTAATGCAATCCTCGAGCTGCGCCAATGCAGATTTCCAGCCTCTGTTTCCAAGACAGAGTAGGTTTGTTCGAGCCGTAGATATGGTCACGCAGAGGCCCGTTGGCCATGTACTCGTAAACCAGAATCATCTCTTGCTGTTGGTCGCAGAATCCGACCAGAGAAACCAAGTGACGGTGGCGGAGCTTGGAGAGCATCTGAATCTCCGTTTGGAATTCGTTTATACCCTGCTCCGATCCGTTGCTTCCTCGTTTAATAGCAACCTTGGTGCCGTCTTCGAGAGCTCCGATGTACACTTTCCCAAACCCACCAACGCCGATGACTGTTTTCTCGTCAAAATTCTGGGTTGCGCGCTCTAACTCGGTGACGGTGAAGAACCGGCCAAGACCTGTGAAAAAACTGGAGTGGGTGCTCTTGCTCTTCCTGGAGCTGAAGATGCTGGACCGCCGTGAGCTGCTCTTGCTGGATAAGAATCCACCGCGAGTACTCTGGCAAGCATGCAGGGGAAGCAACCATGACGAGAAGCTCTGTTTCTTCTTCCAATCCTTTGGCCGTTTCTTCCACCTGACAAAAACGATCGCCAGACCCAGCAACGCCACTGCCCCCATTGCAAGTCCAACTCCGGCGACAATCTTCATTTTTATCCGTCCAGGTCCTTTATACGACCCATCAACGGCAAACAATCCGTCCAGGCTATCAGCTTCATTACTCATCTTGATAACCTCCAATCCATTAAGGATCGCCTTGTGTAGGTTCGAATCCACAGTCGGACCTACCTGAATCTTGATACTACCGTTTGTAACGGCGGTGGCGTTGAGCACTAAATCCGTGTAATACGCCGCGTTGAGGCGGCCACCGGTTTTCGTTGTTAGATCGAGACCCGAAACGCCCATCATCCCGTTTATATACACATTGAAGTACAAATCATTGGGGGATTGACTCACAATATCACAGAAATGCATTCTGATGAAATACGAGAAGCTCTGTTCGACATTAACCTCCCAAGTGAGATTGAAATTGGGGTTTGTCGTTTCAGAATCCGCCATTACCTCCGCCGTCGAATAAACCGAATTCGGAGCAATCAACGGTGTCGCGCCGCCATCTGGGTATATGATCGGTTTAGAACCCATAACCGTCTTGGCCCCTTCCGGGAACGCATTGAAAGGGGTATCCGGTAGCCATGTCCTCGACAATGTATCATTCTTCGGAGATAACACCGGTCCTCCCACATTCAATCGGAGAGAAACCTGGAGAGCATAATTCGATATCCCATTTATGGTTCTCCACTGTGGCACCGAAGATGCAGAATCGGAGATAAGCTGATCGGGAGCAGAGACGACTTCGATTGCGTTTACAAAGGCGCAAGAACCCTTCTTCGGCTTGAATTGGAGGGAGAATCTTCCGGTGGTATTAACAAGATACTCCTTGAAAACCCCCTTGGAATTATCTCTCACCGAGAACTCATGTAACAGGACGAATTTCTCTGTCTGGACGGTGAAAATGGCGACCGTGAGGTTGTAAAGTTGGTGGGGAAGGGGAAAAAAGTAGAGACGAACCCAATGCCGACCAGGTTTGGTAATGAATGTATATAAAGAAACTTCTGAAAAAATCCTTGCAGAGCGAAACAGGGGAGATGAAGAATTGGAAACGGTGTCGCTGAGGATGTTTTGATCAACAGAAGTTACGATGTCTTCATTGGTTTTGAGGAAATTGCTGGTATCAGAATCAGATTTGAAGGTCCTTCCGTCGTCTAGAACCGTCTTCCCCGATGACCCACAATCGATAAGGTAATTATCAGGAGGTGTGTAGGAAGAAGGGGAAGGAGGAGGCTTTGGGGTGTCAACTTGGGCGTGGGAAAACAGGGGAAAGGAAATGAGGAGGAGGAGGAGGTAAGAGAGGGAGGAGAAGTGCATCTCTCCTCCCATTATGTCAGTGGCGGTGATTGGGGATGTTGGGCTAACATGGAAGCGACGTTGATGGCCACGGTGCGGTGGTTATACCAGTGGCCGTGGCTCAAGAGGGGACGATTACAGGGTTCGGAGGGATTTGTATTACAGAAATTGGTTCAAACAATGGTCAGAAGAATTTTTTTTGGAAGAATGGAAGTAACGGAACGGACGTACAAAATTGCAGTTACATTTTTTCTTTTTTTCAATTTTTCTAAGAAATTTTAGAAAGACTTTGTAAAAAAGAAATTGGAAAAAAAGGCAGTCCAACCAGAAGCGACCTGTGCGCTGCACCCTCAAAATAAAACTCCAAAATCTATTTTGCACAACTTTATCTATTTTTAAATATCAACTACCCCCTCTCGACCCATCTCATACTTTATAACTTTTTTTCCCATAACACTATCTAAGGCTTTGGTTTTATATCTTGTTTCCTCAAAAAATCCTCAGCCGGCCGCCCATTGATTTTTTTTTATGATTGTGCTTTATCTTGACACGTGACCTTACCTTATTGGTTTATTTTAAGTGTAAACATATCTCCTTCTAGAAAGAGATAGGAATGAAAATATTTTGTAAGGTCTTGGTTGATGGAAGTGAAAAGAGTGACAGCTGCAAGATGGATAGAGTAGAAATGAGTCTTGAAATTCACTGTATAATTGTTACATGAAAAAGAGTTCAAATTCACTGCATAATTGTTTCGTGAAAAAGAGTTGTAGTTCAAACTACATCGGATAACAAAGCATTAAGTATTGGATGATGGTCCTATGATAATGGGTGTAAACTCCTCTATTTAATAATTAATATTTTATAATACAATACACTTCAAATTACAAAACGTCAGTCTCATTGTTGCATCAAATTAACGAGAATGAGGCTATAGTGAGGTGCTATGGAAGATCCAGATGGGATTAAACCTGCTGTCTAGGTATCTCAGAACTGAAGAATTTACAAACAAATAATGCTAAATTTGACATTAGGAAAGATGAAATTAAACATTCAATATCCAATGCTGAATTCATATGGTTAATATTGACAAAAAGCATTTCTATTAGTATTGATCTGGTTTCTTACAACAAAAAAATTAGGGATCCACAAGCGTGGATCAAAGAATATTTAATTTCTGGAGAAATGAATTTGAATATTGAGAATATTAAATAAGCTCGTATCTTTATATATCAATGAAAATTACAGTTTTTCTTCTTGGTACATAACTTACAGCTCTCACCATTGTAGTCTACAGCCCTGTTATTGTGTTCTGAGATAAATTAGACCACGCCTTATTCTCTGTAAATGAAATTAAAATTTAAAATAATTATTAGACTTCAAATTGTAGGGTGAAATAAGTGAGTACCATAACTGGTATCGGTAAAAGTTTCCCAAAGAAAAAATCACTACTAAAAACAATCCGTCATACTGGTATAATAAAACAAAGTTCAATACCTCTCCAGTATCTCTAATTCGTAGGAGTTCTAATCTTTCGGAAGGCCTCCGATCTGATAGAGTGGCAAGCTGCAGCAACATATAAAACAGTGGTTATATAGAAATTTTCAAATGTTTTAAGAATAATATTATATTGATTCCTAAATCCTAAATAACACAGCACGTGCATCACACAAATGAGGAATGTACCCAAAAACTGAAGAGTTCAGGGTCTCGACAAGATGGCATCATTACTTCCAAGTTAAGATATTTCTCCAGCTTTCTTCGATCTGCATATAATCCATGTCAGATTGCGGCAATGCATGGCAAAAGTTCTGCTTGAGAAGAGAAAATAACTTACCAGGAAAAATCAAATGAAAAAAAAAATTTCCAATATAAAGCACTAATAAATATATTTGAGTAATTTAATGGGCCGAGTTGTGGTAAACCTTATGAAAGAAATGTCTTCTAACTGTAAGAAAGCAGAAGAAAGAAAAAGGACCAAATTCCAGACCAACTTCTTTCATCCAGATTTGTGTTGGTAGTGTTTCTAGATTTAATAAAACATGAAATTTTAATGAACTAGTTCTAAGTTTTGAATAAAATCTATGCATATGTGCTTTTCCCATACTATTTGTTCTTACATCCACACAATTTCAAAATATAAAAAGACAACGGTCTTCCTCAATTATGAATGGAAGAGGACCAGAATTACTATTGTCAATGCATCCTACAATAAGAGTTTTACCATGTCTTGCTGCTTCTTTCGCCATCCTTAACCATGACTGAGCATGTTCCGCTGCATTATTTGTCAATTCCTGCAACTGTCAGCAACAAGAAAATGTTGCATCAAAATTATGCCAATATAGAACACTAACCATGCAAATGCTTGTAGTTTCCTGTAGAGATCCATGCCACATTCAAAAATCCATGCAAGTCTACTAGTTCATATACATGCCTATGGCTATGTTGTGTATTCCTCAAATAAATAAAATAAAAGATAGTCCATCTACTTAAAGTCGATTGATGTCCAAAATCATTCTAATTATCCCTTTATAAAATGAAAAGAAAAATAATACAAATGAGAACCAAAAGTAGAGAATCATCATACATCCTCTCTCCCTCTTGCATTTTCTGGTGTTATGTCCTTCACCCATTCAACCTCTGCCATACGATAACTGCATAAAACATCAGAAAGCGTGAATACAAAATTAAATAGACATGACAACCCTGCAAGTAGAAACATTTGATACATCTGATTCAATTGAAAGGAACTAACCCATCCTGATCCCAGGATCTGAGGATACGAAATCTCTGGCGACTTTGAATCTGCACATTATACACTTCATTAACATTCAAAAAGTTTAAATGCAGTCTGGTTTATAAACATAGAAGGAAAGGGAAGCAGCTTAGAAGCTACTTAAAAATTTGATCTTTCCAGTTGCAGGTTCTGTTACTATTTAATGAACCAGCTGTAATTCAAATTCAAACAAATACAATCAATCTTTGGGATGAGAGAAAAAGAAGCATCTGTTGCATCATAATCAGTCAAAAAGCTTCTTCCTTTTGTTAAATTCATAATGAAGAATAAGAGCTTTAAAACATGTAGAGAAAAGAGAATATGTAAAAACTACAGGAAGAAGTAAGAAAAAACAGTAAACATTTCACCTCTAGAACAAAGCGTCCATCAGGAAGAGGTTCACACCTGTGTATTAGAACAAGATAGAAAGACCATAAGGTTATAAATCATTAAAAAAATCACCTATATATAGATATATGCTATTTTTTGGCCAGAAAATACATCTAATACGAGCAAATAGTTTAAATTACAATAAAGGGGTAAAAGAAGTCTACTCAGTAATCTCCACTTCACAAGCAAAATCAGCTACAGTATCTGTGGTGGGATCAAGGATAACCTATAAAAATAATGGAGAAAAACACAGTAATATGAAGATCTTTTCTAACATACCTAGGTGACATTAAAAAGGAAAAAACCAGCGAAAAAGTAGACTACCATTCCCATCCGATGATTTCCTTCCATTATCCTCCGCACCTATTCAAGCAAAAAAGAAAAGTTACTTGAAAGGATTGAGAATTGACATACGCAAGTGAATATGAGCATATGTTTAGAAGCGATCCACTTCCTTTTTTGTGTGTAAGTGTAAATAAATTGGGGCAATTGATGACTAATTTTCATTTTCTTGAAAACCAACAATCAAAACTAACATGTAAGTCCATTATCAGGAAGAAAAAGGAGGAAAGAAGAAGAAGAAGAATTAGAAGAAGGTAACATGTAAATAAAAGGCATTCTCTGCCTCTGCAATCCTTGCCAGAACTGTACATATTTTTAAATTAAAACATTAATACAACATTTGTCTTTGTTGAATGAAAACGAAATTAAACAAAACATGTTTTCTTCAATTGTTCTCATTTTTTCAATTGAAAACATGACACAAAAATGATGCCATAGAGACCATAAAATACCAAAAGAGGAGAGATATTGCAAGAGAGACCTAGTTTTGTGCCTCTTTCTTGATATAGGGTTAAAAACAAGATCTCTAACAAACAAATCTTGGATTTAGATTAATTGATCAGACTCACCATAAGTCTATAACGCGGTTCAAAAATGTGGAGTGGAAACTTCTGACATGGGATGACCGCATCCATGACAAAAAGAGGCATCAAATCATTACCAAAGTTTATCAAACTGTCATGCTCTGATCTCCTTTCAGCATATTCTTCTGGGAAGTTCTTCTGTATGATGTTGTTCAGAGTTACACTGCCAAATAGGGGAAAAAATTGTATTACACTGAATAAATGGCATAAGAAAATTATATTACACAAAATAGGATTTAAACTTTCAAAAGTTGTAAAGAAAATAATAAGCAGAAAGAAAAGCTTAGACAGAAGAATAGAATTCTATGTTCACCAAGCTGAGCTATAGGTGCAGTGCTGCTCAAATGATGAATCAGGTAACTACATAATGTGTCCACCAAAAAGACTTACTAGAGAGTGGAAACCAATTGACTCATTTGGGATTTTATAACAGTTTATATCACCATTTCCACACTCAATATACATCAATCTGACCATGTTGATCACTAAATTGACATATCAACCTACAAAATCTCATCTGTGTAACCTATAGATTTTGTTCCTCCTGGAAAAATTAAATATTGAGAGCACAAACAGCAGAGGTTGGAGATCAAAATTTCTTTTCTTACCATCAACAATCCCTGCTAAAGCATTTTAATTGAGAACAAGTGATAAGATTCTCACCTGATTGTGCATGTTCTTGGACTAATAAAAAGGACTTTCCGGCACAATGGACATTTGTTACCTGACATTTTTAATGAAAGTACGACAGATATTAAAGTGATGCACTGGCACTACAGATGATAAAAGCAACCAGTGCAATAGAAAATTGAACTCACCAATATCCATGGTCTGAAATAGACATGCGCGACAAAAAGAATGCCCGCAAGGAGTTGTAATAGGTTCATAGAGTAACTTAAGACAAACAGTGCAATCAAAGTCATCTGTACGTTCAGCTCTTCCATGGCTTCTACTCCCAACCAAAATGGATGGAGTGCTATTCAAATTTTGAAGAGAATACTGGAGTATGCCACTAGAAACACAAAGACATTTCGAATAGCAATGTTTTTAGAGTATGCCACTAGAAACACAGACATTTAGAATAGCAATGTTTTTAGCCAATGGACATTAAATCAAAGAGGTGAACGAAATAACAAACCACCTGAAAGGATCCAGTTGAAGGCCTGAGAGAATTATATCTCGTGCCATGTCATATCTCTCCAACTGCATCATCAAAATAACATGAGCTTCAAGAAAGTAGACAGCATGCACACGAGGTTTGAACATTCCCAAAAATATACGTGTGAAATAAAGCAAAAATTCTTACCAAAGTCAGAGCATTGGCCTTTAAGATGTACGGTTTTATTACATTATTCTGGATGTTCATTAGCTTCTCAGCATCCTTCAGAGCAAGCTGGAGTTATTGTCAAAAAGTTTCCCTCTTCAGGATATATTTAAAGGTGATAAAATTGAAAAAAAGAAACAAAAGGAATTTGCATTTTAAGCATGTCAGAAGTGACCAATTGACATACTTCAGCAAGAGTTGTCATGTCCAGCCCATTCAATGGTCTATATTCAGAAGCTGCTGAAGGTCTTTGTTTAAGAAATTGACTAATCCTGTACATGAATTGCAAAAAATCCTCCACTATGAGTGATCCATAGTTTATAACTTTTTCAGAGGATAGTCAACCAGACATGCTATAGAAAACAGAAAGCAATTGATATGTCATATATGAATTTTGTACATGCAGATATATCATCAAAAGTAAAAATAACAAGTGTATGCATTTAGACAAAGATGATTATACTGATTTATAGATATATGCATACACCACAATACTAATAAACATTAACAAAACCTAACCTCAAGTAAGCAGCACTTCTGTTGCCAAGAATAACTGGATCTCCAGATTTCATGTTATTGGCCTTTGAATAACTACTGATTGCCTGAATGACAAACTTAAGCATCAGCAAAGGAAGCGAAAATTATAAATAATATAGAAAGAATATAATTTTTTATAAGTAGACCATACCAAAAGAAATAAAAGCATGTCAAAATTGTCTATTCTAAGTTTCAAATAGCAATCAAGTCAAATGGAGAACAGCCAGCTCTACCTCTGTTTCAGATTTGACGTTTTTCTTTTTCTTTTTTCTTTAAAAAAAAAAAAAAAGACTATCATTATTGTAGCAATTAGCCTAAATGATTTTAGGCTAATAGAAGATATAAAACTATAAAACCATATCATCCAATAGAAGATATAAAGACTAGTCTAAATGTCAATACTCATGCCCTACAAAGACTAGCAATTAGCTTTTCTTCCTAATGGAGAACCTAGCACTGGCAAACAGAAGCTATCATTATTGTATTAGAAACAAGCTTCCTGCACCCTCAAAAAGGTATATTTCTTTTCCTTTTCTTTCATAAAAAGGGAATTGGAACAGGAAGACATCCCTAGACTTGAGGAAATGATTCCATTAACTGGGTAGAAAGAACACAAAATACAAACAAAATGTAAAACTTCACCTCCTCAAAATGGTTTATACGGAATGCCTGGTTGCCATTCTCCATTAGATCAAAAACATGACTGTACGTGTCCCATGGCAATGACCCCTCTCCTTCATTTGCCTGCACCTAAACAATATTCCTCAAACACCCAAAAATATTTGAAAGTCATCAATGGTAAAATTAACTCTCCTTAGCAAACAAATTTTGAGACTCCATCAAGTTTAAGTTTTATCAGATAAAGCTTGTATTAATCAACACTTGAAACCAGCAAAAACAAGATCCTTCAGTCAATTTCCCATAACAAAAATAATTAGAAGAAGATTCACGTTATCACTATCTTGAGGCAATAACTGCAGCCTTTCTACCAGGTACCAGACCAGTTATTAAATAGTCAATTTAACATAATCAAAATTCTATCAAATTTATCAAGTAAGAAGAATTAATTATAAAAAAAATACATATTTACAAACTTATCAATTCCAGCTTTTGCCTGAAATTGAGGAATAAAACTGTTGATATATTTAATTTTTCATTTCATAGGAATTTTCAACAACAAATCGCATAGGCGAAGAGCAAACAAAAAGAATGAAAACAATAGTGTCCACACTCTTTCCCACATTGTTCTTGGCTACCAAATTAAAAAAACAAATTCCTAGAAATAAGCACAAACGCAAGAAAACATCATTCTGTATCTGGAAAGTGCAGACAAGTGATATTCCACTCCGAGCACTCAATTGCCAAAACCAGCTGACTCAAAACTCTAGTTTTCTTAGCCTCAAATTAAGAAAATTAAACTTTTAAAATAAAACTTTAACACTCAGTTCTTATGGCAACCAAGTTTCATCTCCGTAAAACTAACATATCAAACAGACTTCATTCATTAATTTCGCCAAACATGAAATTCAAATCAATCAATATTCATATTCTCCCCTTACATTTTCTCAGGAAACAAACACCTTAAAAAAGATCAAACCAGTAATAAAAAGGACGTAAAAGATCAACCAAAAAGAGAGAGAGAGAGAAGAAACCGAATTCGCACCCAGGTGTACTTATCGACATCGTCAATCCCCAAGAGGTTCAAACTAGAAGACACGGAGGACTCCCCTGACATTGTGCAGAGAGAAAAAAAAGACGAAAAAACAAATTCCGAATTCCGAACTCCAATCCAAACAGCGAGAGAAAAACCAAAAAACGACTGTCAACGCCGGAGAGATAATCTGAGTGAAGAATTTGAAGAGAAGGAGGAGGTTTGAAGCAAGGTGTTCGCTTCTTCGTCCTTGGTTGCACCCACGGACGATATTCCACTACGTGTTCTTTCGTCGTCTCCACTCTTTCTTCTACTCTTCCTCTTACAATGGGAAGAAATTTCAAAGGATTTTACCCTTTTTTTATTTCTTTTTATTTTTTTTTTTTTTTGAGGCTAAGAGCGCTTCTGCTTCGCTTGCCGGGAAGTTGGCTCGGGGTAGTTGATATCTCGGTTTGAGGGCGGTGCGGGATTTGCTGTGGGAAGGTGTAGATTAAATTTTTACGGAAGTTCGTAGTACGAACACGTGGATTTTGTTGGTTGGATGTACATTGGATACGGATTTGACTGGAATTTTACTTGTAGTTACTGTGGAGTTGACTTTGATTGGTTTGATTTGTGGTGGTGATGATCTTTAGCCTTGTGGTCTTGTGTGTACTTCTCCACTCGATATCAATGCGCGTCTATTACACATTCTTGCTGGCTGTCCGTTGGCAATGTTAAGACTATTCTCTCTTCTCTACGTGTCAAAATAGTATTCTTCGATCAGATTTGATAAATGAAATAAAAATTTAGAAATTATTTATATATTTATTTATATTACTTTTAAGAAAAAATTAAATAAATTTTTTTGTATGATAATTAATTAAAATAAATAGATAATGATGAAATTAAAGTAAAAAATATTTATTTATTTTAAAAAATGAAAAAATAAAAATTAATTTTAGACAAATTTAAAGTAAAAAACAATTATTATTTTGGGACAAAAAAATAAATGGCAGTAACATTTCAATTTTAATCTTATCTCAAAAAAGATGAAAATGCATTAAATTTTTTCACTTAATTATAAATTAGTGTGAAAATGAAAAAAAAATTATGATTATTATAATAAATAAATTTGTTGATAATCATAAATAAATAAATTTAGAT